GTCAATGACAAACTACAACTGCACCATCCGCAGTCGCGCTAAACTGACCGGAAGGCCTAGATACTTGAGTGGGAAGGTAGCTTGATTTACTCCAAAATTTTGCAAGATCTCCGTGAGGTTTAACTGATCACACCAGATGGCGGCCACCGTGGACTTTCCGTGGTTTATCCTCAGTCGTGTCTCTTCACCGAACATCTCCAAGAGATGCAGTAGTGAGTCCACCTCCGATTTCACCGGGTTTGCAAAGATCACAGCATCATCCGCACATAGACTGACCCGAAGCACCGCGAGCTTCCCTGGTAAGGGTGCCAACGCTCCATCTTCAGCAGCAGTTTCCAGCAGTCTGTGCAATGGGTCAATCGCCAATATGAACAATAGTGGGGAGAGTGGGTCACCCTGACGCAGGCCTCTCCTATGGAAGAATTGCTCTCCGGTCGTTCCATTTAGAAGGTAGGCTGAGGAAGATGTTGACAGCAAAATTGCAACCCATCCGCGCCATCGAGTGCTGAAGCCGAGCTTCTGCAGTAGCTCTAACAAATAATCCCAAGAGATGGAATCAAAAGCTCTGGCGATGTCGAGTTTGAACAACAAAGCGTTTTGCCTATTCCTGTGTAATGTTCTGACAGAGTTTTGCACAAACATGAAGCTGTCGTGAATGCATTTGACTTCTGGAAGGCGCTTTGAGCTGGTGAGATTATGGTACTGATAATTGAGGACAGCCTGATCGAGAGGACCTTAGCAATCAACTTTGCCATTGAGTGAATCAAGCTAATCGGCCGGAAATGTCGAAGCTCTGCCGCCCCATCTTTGTTTGGCAGCAAAGCAATGAGCGCCGCATTGATCTCTTCAAAATTGGAGGCAGATAAGCTGTAGAAAAATTGAAAGACAGCCATGACATCCCCCTTTATCATTTGCCAGCAGGCCAGGAAGAAATTACCCGTGAAACCATCCGTGCCTGGCACCTTCTCCGTCGGGGAAGCTGCTATCGCCGACCACACCTCCGCCTCTGAAAAAGGAATGTCCAAGCCCATATGCTGCACCGATGGCGTGTGTGGCCTGTCCTAGTTGATGGTGCAGCGACGTGCTGTCGTTGTCCCCAGCAGGGAAGAGAAGTGATCGTGGATCACCTTGGCCTTGTCTTCATGCTTGGTTGCCGTGTGATCAGGTGCAACCAGAGAGTGGATGAAATTTCGACGCCGGCGTGAACATATCTTGGCATGAAAAATCGTGTGCTTGCATCCCCTGCCCTCAGCAATAGAACTCGTGACGCCTGCCTCCTCCTAGCACGCTCCATCACGGCCAGCCCCAGGACCCGCAGCTTGAGCAGCTTCCGAAGTTGAAACTCTGCGGATGCGAGCGTCCTGCGCTCCTGGGCGACATCCAACCGCAGAATCACCTCATTAGCTAGCTGAAGTTTCATCTTGGCCCCTCCGAACAGATTCTTGCTCCAGATCCGCAGGTCCTTTGCAACTCGCTGCATCTTCACTTTCAGACGAATAAAAGGACATCTGTGATTAACCGGCCTCTCCAAAGCCCTTCTCACTGTGTCCTGAAAGCGCGGGAACCTGACCTAGAAATTTTCAAAACGAAAGCGAGCTCGCCTGCACGGGGCCGATGCGCTCGCCCGCATCAATGGGCAGTGATCAGAGCAGGAAGTGGACGCCACCGTCAACATGTAGGAGGGAAAAGTGCCTCCCAGTCGGTGTTGCACAAGAACTTATCAATGCTACAAAATGTAGACTGCTCCCGCTCGCTGCTCCAAGTGAATCGCATATTTTTGCACTTAATCTCTCGAAGCCCGGCGAACTCTATTGCCTTCCTATATCTACCCATCTTCCCGTAAAAAAATCTACCCATCATCCGCCTATTTAAATTTGAGTTACTCTTGTCTCTAGCCTGGTAAATGATGTTAAAATCACCTACAATCAGCCATGGTTGGTCCAACGGGGTGGCGGAGGAAGCAATTTCAGTGAGAAAAGCATCCTTTCATGCGTCGTTCGTTGGGCCGTAGACGTTTGTCAGCCAGAAGGTTGTAGCCGTGGCGACAACGCGGACGGAGACGGTGATTGAGAACTGGCCCAAGGCGTGTGAATCTACATGCACTAGATCCAAGCCCTAGTCCCTACTGCTGGTAGCACTACGCAGCCATCAAGCCGTCGTCCTCCTACCTCTCTCGCTGCTTGGGGCGACCACTCCTCTAGCTTGGTCTCCTGTAGATTCAGAATGGCTAGCCTGTGCACGTCAGCTACTTCCCTAATTACCTCCCGTTTAGCCGGCGAATTGAGACCTCTGATGTTCCAGCACATGATCAGGCAGTTTTTGTCATCCATGGGGACATTGGAAAATGCTCCGTCGACTAATCTTGCTACTGGTGCTGCTCAGAACGAGCTTACAACACACATCCATCCACACCGAGGGGCGACGCCGGCCACCAATAGGCCCAAAACCCCGGCGCCGTCGAGCTCTAGCCAACAGTACAGGGGGAACTAACATGGAACACAAATCTAACTCTAACCAGCCTACTACTGGCCGTCGACGGAGACAGCTATGATCGAGTAGTGTAGTGTAAGTTTAGTTGATCTACATAGTTTTGCATGCTTTGTATGGTTTTAGGATTTCAACCGTGAGAAGTTCACAGAAAGGATATTTGATGTGTCCGGTCAGTTCTCGCATTTGCTGTCCGTGGCTTAGATGTCTAACCGTGACGCCGGAGTGTAGTAAGATGGATCATAAGAGTACATATTTATAGTTAATTATGTGCTGACTATAAAATTAACTATAAATGTATGTCAAAAGAAAAATATATCAATAACCATGCTCTTGAGTGAGTCTGTCTGTTGGAGGGGTGGCGGGAATATGCAGCGGAGCAAACCTGCGGCCAAGCCAGCAGACGCAGAGGGGCCGAGGGGTTGGCCAGAAAACCCTATCCCTTCTCTCTCGTGCTCTTTGTTTAACGCCAGTGCACATCTTGATGTTCCCCGCGCCCTTTTCACGATCCGCCAGGCGCTGTTAAAATACAGCCCCGCTCGGTGCCCGAAGCGCGGAATAAAAATCGGAGCAGTTCGTGGCGAGCTTGTCGCTTTGGACATCTGTTTTTCCTCCCGTGGTAGTAGTTACACTCCTACTACTTCGGTCGTCGTCCGTCCAAGTCCAACAAGAAGCGAAAAATAAACGTGTATTTCCAGCTCGAGGTCAGCTTTTGTTCGCACACAAGACGTTCCGATTTTACGGAATCACGTAGCCGCATCCGCTAAAATGCACTCGTAACTCGCCAAAAGAAAAAAAAAGCATTTATTTCACGGCTATTTTATGGATTTTACCGCACATTCTTCACGGGTGGCTTGCCGCTCGAGCACTCCTTGACTACTGCCACGTCAAATCCAACGCAGAGACAGTGAAAGATACGGCGCCGGGGCACCAGATTGCTGCGGCTCTGACTTGACCCTTGCCGTATGAGGAGGAATATTCACCGCTACGCGCGCAGCCTACGACCCCTATCGCTGCTCTACCGGTAATGCTACACGTACGAGCTTTTTTTACAGAAGATTACGGAGGAGATGATTTGGAGACGTGCTATTAGTCGAGGGATTGCCCCCACCTGAAATCAGGGGGGCGGAGAGTTTATTGACGAATCACAAAGTGCATCACCGTAACAACCCCGTAAAGCCTTGTATGTCTAGGATTATTGCTGCTCTACCAGCAGCAGATTCTCTCCGCGTCCTTTGTTTCACCTCATTTGTGGCAATTTTGGGCGTGCCTTTTTCCGATTCCATTATGGACGGATGGATGGCTCGGGATTTGGCGGAAAGCGAAGGACAGGGAGCGGACACGTCACGGCCTCCCTCCCTGCCCCCATACGGCGTACGAACGGTGCGCGAGAGTTCCCCGATCGTGAGGGGAGAAAAACATCTCGCCGTCGCTTCAATTTGGTAGCATCCCAATTTCGCTGTAAAATGTTTTGAATTGTGAATCAACGGCTCGTGTTTCTCTACTAAAGTACTCACTCCCTTCGATAATATAAGAGCGTTTTTGACACGTGTCAAAAACACTCTTATATTATGAGACAGAGGGAGTACATATAAAGCACGGATATCGCCCATAAATGGAAAGCGTAGACCGTGTGCATCGTACGGATAAAAACGTCCTAGAATTGATACTGGTGCTGAAAATATGTCATTGCGATGCATCACACACGATGAGGCGAATCGGCCAACCAGAACCAGGAACCATTTGTCCGACCATAGGCCATGTCGCGGTGTAGGCAGCGTGCATCCGAGCCATGTGGTGACTTTTATTTATTTTTTACTAAATGACAATCTTGTAAATTTAGTCCTCTTATTGACCCACTCAAAAAACTTATTTTCAAATCTGACCTCCAACACAAATGCCAAACCGTTTGACGTTTTTAGTACACGCTGTGGCGCCAAATTATTTGGCGTAGCTACGTGTATTAAAAGGTAAAACAGTTGCTTGCGATAAAGAAATCGAACAATTTGGTGTTTTTGTTGGGTTAGATCTCAACATAAGTTTGAGTTTCCAGAAGGGTCATTTAGTACGGATGTCGAACGGTACCCGTGCCGGGCGTATGTAGGCGATGGTGTACCTGTCCCCATACGCCATAAACAATCGCCCGGCGCATGCACTGCATCTGCTACTCTCCATACCACCCCCCATTGGCTCCTCACCAACTCATCCGCATCGCAGTCTCCTCCGAGCCGAGATGCAGGGGAGGGCAGCGCGGCGTCGGATAAAAGCAAGGGAACAAGGGATGGTCCAAAGAAAGCTTGGGCCGCGCTGCCCTCTCGCCTAAATAAAACTCTCCCCCACGCACTCCCCCACTCACCACACCACACACCCTCACCCCCCGCGGCCACCAGCTCGTCCGCAAAGACTGAGCTGAGGCCGAGAGCGCGAGCGAGCCAGAGGATCCACTCCATTGGCGAACGAGCCAGAGGAAGAAGCAGAGCTAGGGGGAGCGAGCTCGGAGGCAGGCGGGCAAGATGATCACGGGCACGGACTTCTACCACGTGATGACGGCGGTGGTGCCGCTGTACGTGGCCATGATCCTCGCCTACGGCTCCGTCAAGTGGTGGGGCATCTTCACGCCGGACCAGTGCTCCGGGATCAACCGCTTCGTCGCGCTCTTCGCCGTCCCCCTCCTCTCCTTCCACTTCATCTCCACCAACAACCCCTACACCATGAACCTGCGCTTCATCGCCGCCGACACGCTGCAGAAGCTCATGATGCTCGCCATGCTCACCGCCTGGAGCCACCTCTCCCGCCGCGGCAGCCTCGAGTGGACCATCACCCTCTTCTCCCTCTCCACGCTCCCCAACACGCTCGTCATGGGCATCCCGCTGCTCAAGGGCATGTACGGCGACTTCTCCGGCAGCCTCATGGTGCAGATCGTCGTGCTCCAGTGCATCATCTGGTACACCCTCATGCTCTTCATGTTCGAGTACCGCGGCGCCCGCATGCTCATCACCGAGCAGTTCCCCGACACCGCCGGCGCCATCGCCTCCATCGTCGTCGACCCGGACGTCGTCTCGCTCGACGGCCGCAGCAACGCAATCGAGACCGAGGCCGAGGTCAAGGAGGACGGCAAGATTCACGTCACCGTCCGCCGCTCCAGCGCCTCCCGCTCCGACATCTACTCCAGGCGCTCCATGGGCTTCTCCAGCACCACGCCGCGCCCCAGCAACCTCACCAACGCCGAGATCTACTCGCTGCAGTCGTCGCGGAACCCCACGCCCAGGGGCTCCAGCTTCAACCACACCGACTTCTACTCCATGGTCGGCCGGAGCTCCAACTTCGGCGCCGCCGACGCGTACGGCATCCGCACCGGCGCCACGCCGCGCCCGTCCAACTACGAGGAGGACGCGCCCAAGCCCAAGCATCCGGCGCCCGGGGCGGGGCACTACCCCGCGCCGAACCCGGCGGTGGCCGCGGCGCCCAAGGGACCAAAGAAGCCGGCCACGAACGGACAGGCCAAGGGCGAGGACCTCCACATGTTCGTCTGGAGCTCCAGCGCGTCGCCGGTGTCGGACGTCTTCGGCGGCGGCGCGCCGGACTACAACGACGCGGCGGCCGCCAAGTCCCCCCGCAAAAGTAGCAATCTCTGTCACCAGTCACCACGCACATGCTCGATTTGTTGTTGGTTTCGTAGGCTAATTTGTCCGCACAATTCTTGCTTTCTTTATTGCCACCATTGCAGTGGATGGAGCCAAGGAGAGGGAGGACTACAACGTGGAGCGAGACGACTTCAGCTTCGGGAACAGGGGCGCGCTGGACCGGGACACGGAGGCCGGCGACGAGAAGGCCATGACGGCGGACCCGAACAATGCGATGAGCGCGGGGCAGACGGCGATGCCGCCGACGAGCGTGATGACGCGGCTGATCCTGATCATGGTGTGGCGCAAGCTCATCCGCAACCCCAACACCTACTCCAGCCTCATCGGCCTCATCTGGTCGCTCGTCTGCTTCAGGTCCGTCCGTACGCGCCCCCTCCCTCACTAACCAATCCGGCAAAGGAGTGATCACCATTAATCACGATTCTGACGCGCTTGTCTCGTTGCCGCTGCTGCAGGTGGAACTTCACGATGCCGGCAATCGTCCTGGGATCCATCTCCATCCTGTCGGATGCGGGGCTAGGAATGGCCATGTTCAGCCTCGGTCGGTGCCCGCTGCTTGGCTTGTTGTATTCCATGCTTCCTTCCTGCTGCTGCTGCTATTTCGTCCTATGCAACAGTGGGTTGGGTTCTTCTTGCTGACTCGATCTGGTGCTCGTGGACGTGCAGGTCTGTTCATGGCGCTGCAGCCGCGGATCATCGCGTGCGGGAACAAGGTGGCGACGTACGCCATGGCGGTGCGGTTCCTCGCCGGGCCGGCCGTCATGACCGCCGCCTCCTTCGCCGTGGGCCTCCGCGGCACGCTCCTGCACGTCGCCATCGTCCAGGTACTTGCTTTGGTTTCAACGATCGAGTCGAGGGGGTGAAAAGCAGGGGATAAACAAAGAGCGGAAAGCCCTGGCGTGCCCGTGTCCCTTCTTTTCCCCAGTCCCCTCGTGCTCCTGCTTTCGCGCCAACAAAAGCCCCACTTTTTTTTGGCCCCCTTCCTCTAACCTTTTCCTCTCCGGCTCCGGCCGCACGACAGGCCGCGCTGCCGCAGGGCATTGTCCCCTTCGTCTTCGCCAAGGAGTACAGTGTGCACCCCGACATCCTCAGCACAGCGTAAGTACCACCATTCTCGCCGACAAGATGCTCCAGTCCGGCAAGGTGCTCACCATTTTCCGCTTGGCTTTGCAGGGTCATATTCGGCATGCTCATCGCCCTGCCCATCACGCTCGTCTACTACATCCTGCTCGGCCTGTGAGCGAGCGCCACATGTAAAGATCCATCGCTTCGCTACCGCAGGCTCAGGAGCGGCAGAGGAGGAGGATGCGTGCTTGGAGCACGAGGGGGGCTCTTCATTTTTCGTTCCCTCTCTCTAGAGCAGCAAGATAATGGTGGTGCTCCTAGCTAGGTAGGACAATGGCGAGAGTCAACAACACTCAGAAGGGCTGGGGAAGAAGCAAGTGCAAGTACAAAGAAGCTTGGGCGGGGGACACGGGGTCCGGTTGAGGTCGCGGAATGGTTGGGTTCTGAAAGGGGTTTGCGAGTTTTGGTTGGCTGCGCTGACCCCTGTAAAATGCATGCCATTCTGATAGTAACTGACCTTGATTGTGTTGTTCATTAATTTCATGGCGTTCCTGACCTGAGATCAAAGATGCTCCGGGCTTCATTGCTCTGATGATTGCGATGGAATTCATCTCATGTCGTGCTGATGAAGTGCTTTCATTTCTTACAAGTGTGCATCACGGAAGTAGTAGTACACACAGCGCCAAATCGTTATAACAGTGATGGGCAGCTTTTTTTTTTTTTGACACAACACAACAGTGATGGGCAGCTGTTATGGCTGTGCTTGATTAAGTTGAGCTGTTGAGGCCACAGAAACGCATGGGCGACGCCGGCCATTCAAATCAGTGATCCATGGTTTGACATGACGTGCCGGCTACAGTTGTGTGCGGCCAATTAGTATCCGGACGACTTAAGTTGCAGGCGTGGAGACGCCACCATGAAAACAGGTAACGGTCTGCGCACCCGCCGGCTCGATTTGGGGCGAATCCGGTCGGTCTTGAGCTCATCCGGCTGTGGGAGACCGCGCCGCGCCATGTACTGGCCGGGCACCTCGCCGGAAGGCCCTGGCAGGGCCGCAAGGCCACATGCAGGCAGTGGCTCCTCCTCTAGCCGTTCGGATCTGCATCGTCGGTGGTCCGCCGGCAGATATACGAATGGCAGTCGGCCGGGCTCGGTGCTTGCCCAAAGCTCGTCGGTGCACCATTGCCGCTCATTAAGTGCGACCACTGCCCAAAGAAGGTCATGCGCCGCGTGTCTACAACGCCGGAACATCCCGAATGGGTGTTCATCAAGTGTTTAAATGATGGGGTATGTGCTTTTTTTAGCTTCAGTTTATGCTCTAGATTTGACTAGTTGTGCTAACTTCAAATTTTATTGTGTGGCATCGATGCAAGTTTTGGTATTAGGAAGAAGAGTACATCGATATATTGATAGAGTGCAATTTAGTAGATGTTCGTGCACTTTTAGCTAGCATAGAGGCCGTAGATGAGACAAGTGTATTTGTTGCTAGATTAGAGGCTAGACACGAGACTAGGTGTGAGGAAGCAACATCGACTTCTTTAGACTCGAAGAAGAAAGAAGCATGCAAGATTGAGCCTCCTCCGTAGATCAACAATGAGTGCATCGAGAAGGCACTAATCCAACTTACATGACAATTATGGAAGTTGGATATCTTCTAAAATGCATTCTTGTGGTTCTTGTTTTCTTTGGTCTTACTTTTCTAGTCAAAATTTGGTGATGTATTCCCATGTACCAAAAATGAATGATGAAAAGAAGTTAAGAGCTTGCAAAAAAAATGTATGCGGACAGGATGCAGTCAGGATGCATCCGCGCACTGGGCGCACGGCCACCGCATTCCAGAAACTGCCCGGGCACGACCCCATTGCCCTACCCAAACGGACATAATCCGGATAAAACGGACGTCCATTTGGGGTTGTGCGGTGGTATTGTCCTAATGAAGGCTTTCCACCGGTGAACGTATTAGAGCAACTCTAACAGAGTCGTCGTAATTGTCATAATCGTTTGTTTGGCAACAATAAACGCAATCCGCATATTTGGCGCGTACTCTTTGTGAAATATGGAAGTGCTCCTACTCTCCAAACAGGGAGAGCCGCATGTATATATTGATATCTGACGAGAGTCGTCTCGTGGCGTTATAGAAGGAGATCGTTCGAACAACCTCAAGAGATACATGGGGATAGGGAGAAGAGATAACCAAGAAAATAGCTCTATCTCTAACTACCTGACTTGGTATACAAGATATGTAACGCATACAACGTGACGTGACCATATGATGTTTAACACTCCCCCATAATCAAAACCGAACTAGGTTGAGATTACGACGAAATTCTTCAAAGCTTCTAGTTGGTAGCGTCTTTGTGAAACCGTCTGCCAGTTGGTCCTTGGATGGAATGAACCTAATCTCCAACTCTTTGTTTGCAACTCTTTCTCTGACAAAATGAAAATCTATCTCGATGTGTTTAGTTCTGGCATGAAAAACTGGATTAGCAGACAAGTAAGTTGCACCAAGATTGTCACACCAAAAAAGTGGAGTTTCAGTTTGCAGTATTCCAAGCTCATTTAATATAGCTTGAACCCAAATAATCTCAGCTGTAACATTTGCCAATGCTTTGTATTTGGCTTCAGAAGTAGACCTGGAAACAGTAGCTTGTTACTTTGCACACCAAGAAATCAAATTTGGTCCATGAAAAATAGCAAATCCCCCCGTGGATCATCCACACAACCAGCCCAATCCGCATCAGAGAAGGCATTGACTCGAGTGGAGGAGGATCGATTTATCGTTAGACCCATGCTTACTGTATTCTTTACATACCTCAGGATACGTTTTGCTGTTGTCCAATGAGCTGTGGTAGGTGCATGTAGAAATTGACAAACTTTATTTACTGCAAAGGAAAGTCAGGCCGAGTAAGAGTTAAGTACTGAAGTGCACTAACAATACTCCTATAGCTGGTACTATCTTCCTGATTCAGAAGTTCTTCTTCTGTTAGGGAGAGAGGTTCTGAACTAGACAAAGGAGTTGGTGAAGGTTTGCAATCCTGCATGCCAATTATGCTCAATAGGTCAGTAACATATTTGCCTTGTGATAGATGGATGACATGCTCAGTTTTCTCTACTTCAATACCTAGGAAGTAGTGCAAGTCTCCCAAGTCTTTGAAAGCAAAGTCTGACCTGAGATCATTTAACAGGGTTGTCACTGCTTCACTGGATGAGCTAGCAAGAATAATATCATCGACATAGATGAGAACAAACATGGCAGTATGAAACTCATTGTAAATAAATAGAGATGTGTCAGACTTGGACGGAGCAAAATCAACTGCTTGCAGTTTCATGATCAACCGAGAGTACCATGATTGAGGAGCTTGCTTGAGTCCATACAGGGCCTTGTCAAGCTTGCAGACATGGAGCGGTGCATTTTTATCCTCAAACCCAGGAGGTTGTTTCATGTACACCTCTTATTCCAGAACACCATGAAGAAACACATTCTGTACATCTAGCTATCGGGGACTCCATCCACTGGAAACAGCAACAGAGAGTACAAGGCGAATAGTAGCTGCTTTGATGACATGGCTAAAAGTGTCCTCATAGTCAATGCCATAGTGTTGTTTAATACCCTTGGCAACTAGGCGAGCTTTGTAGCGATCAATTGTACCATCAGATTTTCTCTTAATTCTGTAAAACCATTTGCAGTCAATGAGATTTGTACCTTCTCGGCGAGGGACTAGGTGCCATGTCTTGTTATGTTGCAAAGCAGAGAATTCTTCCTCCATTGCATGTTTCCATCATGAGTCTCCAAGAGCTGCAGCTAAAGTTTTAGGCTCACTAGATTCTCCTGTAAAACATGTGAGGTGATATTTGGAAATATTATTATAATTGATTCTTGTAGTAACTCCCTTTTGTAACCTGGTACGCGGTGGCGTAGGAGGCGTTGCAGAGGGCGTAGCCACAGGTGATCCAAGCGACCGGATCGGATCAGCGATCGGATCAGCCGCAATAGATCCCGAAGGCGGTCCAGGAGCGCTGACAGCGACATATCCCAAGGACGCGTCGAGGGCCACACCGGCTAAGGCGTCGGACAGTCCCGCCTCGGGAAAGAGTGGGTCGGCCAGACCCACGCACTGATGGTTGGGCGAGGCCGCATGAGTGGGGGGACCAGGCATTGGCGAGCGACATGCGGAACCCTCTGGGTAGGTGGGCCGGCGTGTAGGCGAGGGTGTGGGGAAGCCCGGTGGAGGGCCCGCCTACTGCACGGATCCCGTGGCAGCTCGGTGCGCCACGCCTGACGTGCCTGGCGCAGTCACATGGGTGGATCCCGAGGGCGATAGCGCTGCAGGAGGCGGCGATCCCAAAGCAGATACACCAGAGGAACCCGTGCACATAAAATGTTGCACTATAGCATTATTTTCAACTTGATTTTCTGCTGGATTTTCACCATTTTCGTCGGTGGAGCTAGTTGAAACAGTAAACTCAGGCACACCATTAGGAGAGTTAGACAAGTATTGACCATTGCAATTATTTTCTTCCCCACTAGCAACACCGGAGAGATGTGAGGGCAAGAGAAGAATTTCTTTTCTAAGAAGAGCTCCGGTGTTAGGATGAAGAGTGGAGAAGGGAAACTGTGTTTCTCAAAAAACACATCACGAGAGATATAACCTCTACCAGTGGAGACATATAGACACTTGACTCCTTTGTGTTGTGCACTATAGCCAAGGAAAACACATTGTTTGAAATGGAACATAAGTTTCTGATTGTTATAGGGACGAAGATTGGGCCAACAAGCACACCCAAAGACACGAAGTGGTGCATAGTCAGGCTTGACATGCAAAAGGCGTTTAGTGGGAGTTTCATTCTTGATAACACGACTAGTCAGAATGTTGATAACGGTGAGAAAGGCTTCATCCCAAAATTTCAGTGGCATAGATGCAACAACAAGTACTGCAAGGCCTACTTCAACAATGTGTTTGTGTTCGCGTTCAGCACACCCATTTTGCTGGTGAGCATGAGGGCATGAAACATAATGAGATATTCCCAACTTCTGAAGAAAAAGAGTTGAGTTTCTCATATCCGCCGCCCCAGTCAGACTGGACGATGATGATTTTGCTATAAAACTTTCTTTCAACAAGTGCTTGAAAGTTATGGAGAACTTCAAATACATCAGATCTTTTCTTGAGAAGATATCCAAGTATTGCTAAAGTCATTGCTACCTCTTGAGCTTGCGTTGGTTTTCCCTTGAAGAGAAAAGGGTGATGCAGCAAATTAGCATAAGTATTTCCCTCAGTTTTGAGAACCAAGGTAT